TCAGGTAATCCGCCCGTGTTGGCCTCCCAAAGTACTGGGATTACAGGCGTGAGCCACCGCACCCAGCCAAGATCTTTCTAACATGAAAATCAGTTTTTTTTTTTTTTTTTTTTTTTTTTGAGACAGGGTCTCACTCTGTCATGCAGTGTTGCAATCTTCACTCATTGCAGTCTTGACCTCATGGGCTCAAGCGGTCCTCCCACCTCAGGCTCCTAAGTAGCTGGGACTACAGGTGTGTGCCACCACACCTGGCTAATTTTTCTATTTTTTGTAGAGATGGGGTTTCCCCATGTTGCCCAAGCCAGTCTACAACTCCTGGGCTCAAATGATCTTCCTGCCTTGGCCTTCCGAAGTGCTGGGATTACAGGCATGAGCACCTGGCCTAGTTCTTGTTACTTCCCTGCTTGAAACCCTCCAGTGGCTTCTAAATGGACTTGCGGTAAAATCTAGCCTCCTCATCTGGAGTCACAAGGCTCTGTCTGACCTGCTGGGGCAGCCTAGCCAATCTCACCCACCTCTCCTTCCTGCCTCAGCAGGCTCAAGGCCACTGACCTTCTTTCCAGCCTCAAACCTTTGCACATTTACCATACTCTCCATCTAGAATGCTTTTTTTTTGGAGACAGAGTCTTCCTGTGTTGCCCAGGCTGGAGTGCAGTGGCACAATCTCGGCTCACTGCAACCTCTGCCACCTGGGTTCAAGTGATTCTCCTGCCTTGGCCTCCCGAGTAGCTGGGATTACAGGTGTGCACCACCATGCCCAGCTAATTTTTGTATTTTTAGTAGAGATGGAGTTTTACCATGTTAGCCAGGCTGGTCTCGAACTCCTGGCCTCGAGTGATCCTCCCCACCTTGGCCTCTCAAAGTGCTGGGATTATAGATGTGAGCCACTCCTCTTCCTTCAGATGGTCTGAGTAGCTCCGTTCCCTCCTTCACTTCCTCAGGAGTCCCTCTCCACTCAGTCCCCGAATCTCCCCTGCCCCAGGACCCTCTCCTCACATCACCTTGTGTCTTGTTTGTGTCTGACTGTCTAGAATATGTATTCCAGGAGGGCAGAGACTCTGTGTGTCTTGTTGGCTGTTGCATCCCTAGCACCCAGGACAGGCCCAGCATACAGTAGGTGCTCAATAAATTACCAAGGTCATGGTCAGGGAGCACGGAGCCATTTGCCAATGGTAGAAACCATTCCAGAAGCTTTGTAGAGGCCAGAGGCATAGAGTAAAAACATATTCTCTGCCCATGAGGCTGCCCCACCCCACCCCAGGCTCAAACAAGGGCATGGGGAGGAGGGGGAAGGGAGGGAGAGGAGTCGGTTCCCAGGGGAAGAGGTGGACAGGGGAGAGCTGGAAAGGGCAGGATCTATCCGCTTCTTAATTGACTTTGAAAGGTCAGGGCTGAGTCCTGCTCAGTAAGTCCTGCCCCCTGTGGGGTCCTCAGCGGCCGAGCTGCCTCCCTCGCCTCAGACTCCTGGGCAGAAGCTTGTGGGTCCTGTGGAGATGGAATGGGTGGGGGCGTACTCTGGGCTGGAACAGTGCGATCCAGTCCCTCCCTTCCTTTAGAAACCTCCCACCCAGGCCAAGTCACTCAAAATATCTCCCTCCCCTCTCCTCTGCCCTCTCTCTCCCCATCTCTCTGCCCCTAGTCTCTCCCTTCCTCCTGTGACATTTAAAGAATTACGTCTCCAGGAGCCTCAGTTTCCCCTTCTGTAAAAGGGGGCACAGCCTTTATACTCATCACATCACAGACTGGAACGTCCTTGCAAGAATGCGATATCAGCTCCAAAACGTGCAGGATTTGAACAACTATTATTATTCCACCGGGACTAGGGGGTTGAGACAAGAAATGAACCAGTTCTTCATGGCAGGAGGCACCCACCAAGGGCTAGAAGTCCCCTTTGCCCCACTTTCTGTGACCCTCAGCGCTCTGCTGACCCGGGCAGGAAACATTTCCGGCAGCCAGAGGAGGAAATACACTTCCCATTGCTAATTTCCTCGAGGGGGAACCGGTCTAGTTCTCACCACTCCTTCCTCCCACCCCTCCTCCCCAACCTGCTGGCATCTTGGGGATGGTGGACATGGGGGGAGGGGTGCCCAGACAGCCCTCTCTTCTTCCCCAACGTGGAAACCCCAAAAGTCAGCATGGAACGTCAGACTCTTAGAATGCCACAGTGCAGCCGACGTATATGTGACAGCTGCGGGTGCGAGGCTATTTTTGACCCCTTCCTGGTACAGATGGGGAAATCGAGGCCCGCAGTAGCAAGGCAGTTGTCTAAGTCACTTGATGTCTCAAGACTGGGCAAACCTCCTGTCGCTCTTAACTAAACCGCTTCCCTTCCCCTGAGGTTTTTCTCTTCACTCTCTGAACTTCTGTAATTTTTCTCAAGTCTTTCTGAGCATCTCTGGCCCCTCTGAGAACCTACTGGAAGGTATGACCTTCTCCCCACAAAGAAAGCAAGCGACCTTCCATCACCTGCTCCCCATAACCCCGTTCCCCTTCCAGGACCCTCTCTGGTTCTAAGTTCTGCCCCTTACTTAGGCTCTGTTGAGGGGGTGAACCCCCAAATCTCACAGTCCACAAGAAGCTCCCCTTGTCTGTCCCACAGGCCCCCACTCCTTGGGTCCCTGCTGGCCCCTTCCAGAGGGTTGGGGGGAAGAGAAATATATCCAAGATTGGAGCGATAGTGGGATGGGAAAGACTAGGAAGACCCAGCCCCCCACCCCACTTTAGCAGCCTCGGCTGCTGCATCCTGCCAGCCACCCCAAAACCCAGCAAAGCTGAAAAACTTGGAGGATTTCGAGGACAAGAGGGTGAAGTGCTACAGCCCCCCGCATCCCCCAGCACCCCTCAGCTCACTCACCGGACTTGTCCCCGATGCCACCAGACTATCTCACCTCCCCCTTTTCCTCCTCTGTGGGCTCCTGCTCCCCCGCCTTCCCCCAGCAGCCCCAGGGGACCGGCCAGCTCCGGTCTGCTCATTAGGGACGAAATGTGATCACCGGTCCTCGCTCCCCACCTGGTGCCCTGGCGGCCGGCGGAAACCAGGGGGCAATCGGGCCACCCTAACCGCCCCACTGCACCTCAGTATCCCCGTTTCAACCTAGGGGGTCTCTGTGTCCCCCACGCCCACACTGCCCATTAGGGATACCAGTCCTTAGACTGCCTCTCTGACGTTCTAGGTCCCTACGGTTCTGCAATCTTCAGGTTCTATCCTTAGTTCACTTCGCAGTTGAATGTTCTATTATAACATTCTAGAGCATTACTCTTCTTTCATTCTATTTATTACATCGTGGCTTTGTAAGTACCTACCCTAAGTTTCCAATATTCTAGGAGTGTCACATTCCAAGATTCGAAAGTTCTATTGTTAGAACATGCTATGATTTTTTTAAGCATTCTATGACTTTCATAATCTATTATTAAACCGTCAGTGATTTTTATCTTTCCCCAGCAAACAGGAATACATATTTCCCTTTTCTCTTTTACAGAAATGGGAACGTACACTAAATACGGTGAGCCCCACTTCCTTTTCTTTCCCCACTTCTCTCGCCTGCTTTTGAACATTCCAGCAGCCTGATTTCTAAGATTGTGCAGAATTCTAAGAAACTATGGATTCACAGAGGGAAGAGAGGGGCATGTTAGTCACCACCTCCACCTGGCTCCTAAATTCTCACCACCTGGGGGTGACATGAGATATCCAGGCCGCCTCTCTACCCTTTCCCTAGTGGGCCTAGCCTCAGCCCTCCCCGCTCACACCAGCTGAGTTATTATTTGTCTAGACACAAACCAAATTATAGGCCCTGTCCCCGAGGGAACGGTGGGCTCCAGGCGGAGGGTCAGGAGACTGAAGCTGGAGTTAATCCCGGTTCCCCTCCACCTCCCTCCTTCTCTTCCCGAAACTCCACCCCTTCCACCCAAACCAACTCTTGCCCCTCTCCCTCCCCACCACCATGGTTTTGGAAATATTTTCTCTCCTCTGCTTCTAAAACCCTCTCCTCTGGATTCCAGCCATTTCTACTCACCCTGGCATCTCTCCCTCCTCATTGAGAAGACCTCTTTCCCCAAATTAATCCGGCTTAGTGGTAGAAGAAGAAGCCAGCTCTCTGGATTTGGGCTTCGGTTGAAAACTGGGGTCCCAACCCTCCAGCCTGGCACTGACTCACTGTGGGGACTTCTGCTCTTGGGCCTCAGTTTCTCCATCTATAAAATGGGGGTGGGGGGAGTTGGCCTAGGTGGCTCTGCAAACCCTTTCCAACTCTCAGCTGCCATCACTGAAATGTGCCAAGATTTCAACACTCCTCTTTTTGGATTGAAGGACTCCAGTATCCCCAGGACCTTTCATTGGAAGGATCTGGAATTTCCAGGCCTCCCCTCTGATCCTTCTTCCATCTGGGCCCTTCCATTAAAAGATATTCACGTTCAAGGTTCTTGATCATATGATTCCCAGGGTTCCAGGGGCCCCCATGGGTCTCTTATCCTCTTCAGCTGGGATTCCCCCAGAAAAGAAAACCTCCTCATCCTCACCCCAAACCTGAAGTCAAGTTCATCTACAGAGACAGATCTGGGGGCGGGTGCCCCCTTGGTGGGTTCAGGAGGAGGGGTGCTGATGATGGGCTCTGGAGGGGGCACTGGGGGGTGTGGCCCCATCTTCTCCACTTCTGCCCCAAACAGATTCCCCAGTGCACATCCAGCCCGAGTGTGCACACCCACATCCCACAACCGATGCCTCCCAGACATTCTAGGGCTGTTCCTCAGCCTAGTTTGGGAGGAGGGGTTGTCCAGTTCCCCGGGGGGAGAGTGAGGCGGAAGCAGGAAAGAGTTAACGGTGACCCAGCCAAATCCTGGAAGAGAGGAAGTAGGCGAGGAAGTTCACCCCCCAGCCAGGAATTCCTGAAATTGGCGGGCGGGGTGGGTGCGACTTCAGGGGCAGTGGGGTGGCTCCGGGAAGTGGGCGCTGGGGTCAGGGTGTCACTTAGAGTCCTCCTGCCCCAGGTCACAAGCCTCCTGCCCTCTACTCCCAAGCAGCTTCCCAGCCCAGAGGAAAGTTCCGGGATGCGGAGGATTTGGAAGGAGAGAAGACAGAGCAGAAGGTGCCAAAACAGGGTTATAAGAGACGGAGAGACAGAGACAGGGCAATAGAGAGAGACGGAGAGACATGAAGGGAGAGAGCAAAGAGATACACAGAGACAGGGAGAGATGGAGATAGAGGCAGAGACATCCACAGAGGTCCCACAACAGATGGGGGAGAGGCAGAGGCAGGGACAGAGGAAGGTGGGACCCAGAAACAGAGAGACAGAGACAGACGGAGACAGACGGAGACCGGAGAGGCAGAGATCAAGAAACTGACAGAGACATCCAGAGATACAGAAAGAAAGACAGGTCCAGAGGCAGAGGGACCACAGACACAGAGACATCAGGCGGGAGTTGGAGACAGACGCAGAGCCAGGGAGAGCAACAGAGGGGGCGGGCGCCGAGACGGCGCGGGAGACTGAGGCAGCCCCAGAAGGGGCGGGGAGGAGCGGTCCCGCCAAGAGCAGGGCAACCGAGTGAGACCTCGCAGCATCGCGGGGG